ATCTCAAGTTAGAGCTTTGACTATCCTGAATATCCTAATCATCCTGAACATCCTAGTCATCCTGATCACCATATTCCTGGTGAGATATCAAAGCTCGAGTTAGTTAATCTGACAAGATGTGTCATCCCACTATCCAATGATTCTCATTACTGTCACGGTTTCGAGGGACAAGTGCTGGGGCAACTATGTGGTCGATGGTAGTAAATAATAATTCTAAGGAGAGAACTTCCACTACATCTTTCTATTCATTTATATACGTGAAAGCCTCCTCGCCACCAAGGCTAATCCCTCTCCTGTTCCTATGCTATGGGACTCCCCTAGTGTTCTGACTATGCCTGTAATACAGCACTATCGCGTTATGGTCCGGAAGAATTGTACTCGGTCTCGTATATTCCCAGTCAGTGTAAGCCTATCAACATGTGGTGCAGTGCCGTACTGCCGTGCCGTACTGCCGTGCCGCACTGCCGAGTCCGATGCCATGTGAATACCATGCAAATGCCGACGCAAAAGTATTGTATTGGGTGGCGTCGCATATTAGCGCATTGGTAGCCATCAATAACGCCACTCGAATCAGGCCTAACTTAACCAACATAGGCTACAGGGACCAATCGGCTTACCAGCCGTTACAATTACCATATTCAGTAGGTTCCAAACCATCAGATGTTTGACAATTTCCAACACAACGAAACCCCGGAGGAGGGTTTAAAGATTTAATATGTAATGTGTGGCACGTGACTTTCAAATAATGTCACATTGTTGTACTACACAGCTTATTCCATGACAGATTCTGGCACATAGAGGCATCACGGACAATGAGCAAGCTGATGCTCTGGCAAAAAAATGCTTGTAAAGAACCCACGTTTAAGGTAAATGCCTCGATGTCTAGGTCGAAGAGACAGCTCAACGATCGCTGTGAAGGAAATATAGCATTATACTGGGAAAATAAAGCTCCAGAGCGCTTTAGATACAAAATATTCAAATGAGTGGTGGAATCCTACTGGAACTAGGCTTATTTTTCGGACAAATCTTGGCCTGCTTTTGGCAGCACAATCAGCTCATGGTAACTTTGCAGCCTACCACCGTCGATTCAATCCCGAAAATTCAGATCTACTTTGTGAACGTGGCGACAGGAATACTCCAGAACACCCTTTTTTCTGCAAGAATCTAGCAGGCCCCCACAAACCTCGACCAAGACCCTTCCGTGGTGTGGAGTGTGACATAAAGTGGACATTTTGATTAAATACTTGTGCTCGAGCCTTCGGAACTGGCATGAGAATGTAAAGATATACAAATTATTGGCCAAAAGTAACTTTCGAATTTTACTCTTATTTTTCCTAATAATTTTTCTTACTTTTTATTTCTACGTTCCACTACGTAATTTTGATTGATTATCCCTCGATTTAAAAAAATAGGAAACAAATATATGAAATCGTTGCAGAATTGTGTGAGGCGCATAATTGATAGGCTTAGCGGCAGCAAGTTACGTAAAAAAAATCCTATGTGTACTATGGAGATTTTATTAGACGTCGTTCCACAACAGAGATGTGTGACAGCAATAGGACTTTTTTTTGCATCAGATTTTAATTGCGTATGCAGCTATCTAGCTTTGACACAATATCGGAGAAAATGTAGAGAAAAGAAGACTCAATTTACAAGAAGAGCACTCATGCCTCGGATTTCATTTGCAAGTACCACTGCGAAGTTATGGTGGCTTTTTCTTCACCCCAAGTCAACACTCATCCGTAAATACCCACCCAGGGGAACGTCTCAAAAACCCAGAGTTATCCAGACATGCCTCCATCATCCATCAACTTTTCTCTGCGCGAAATATGGTCTGAAGCGTCTCCTTCCCAAGTGAAGTAGGTACCTAGACTACTCAGACTATACCAGAGAACACCACTCGGAGGCGGACCACAACACCTTCCATCGTTGGCTTGTGTTTATAGTGTCGCCTGCACCCTCACAGCTGAAGCCTTGGCACGCACAAAGCTCAATTTATAAAAACTCCTTGCCTAAATTCGGAATTTCACGCCCTTCGAGATTGTATCCTTCCTTTGTATCACCTTATCAACTTGTGCTGATCCCTCTCACGCCCATCCCAAAGAGCTGTCTCCCAGATTTGTGCGCTAAGCTTTGCATCCATCGTCAGGTATGAATATTGCCGTGGGCGTGTCTATGGTGGCCAGCTTAGGCCAGAGAGTAGTCGATGAGAGGTGTGGTCATTGGAATAAGGTTTTACTAAATCTTACTTGTAAAATTCATGAGACTTAGGTAGGATTCGGACTCGTTGGGAGTGAAAAACTGACGTGGCGGAGTATTTTGAATCATTGCCTCGTGGGTCAACTTGTTCCATATTGCGAAATTTGGCTGAACCCGGCTCTGGGAGAATATTTCACTCCCAGGTTCGATGAGGACACCACGTACAGGTGTTCAGTCTTATCCTCAGTGGCAATAGACTGTGTAAGCACACCGAACGTTCTCTATAGGATTCCGAGGCCGGGCTTACCCCGTGTGCCTTCTTTGCGTTAAATTAATTAACCAAAGAATATATTTGCTCAGAAAAAACTCGTGAATTCCTCCGCACTTCGGATGAAACCAAGCATCAATTAGGAACTACTATTAAATCTGGTTGCCATGAAAATTGACATTGTCCTGGTCACAATTCAAAATCTTGCAGACTCCATTGCCACGACTTCATAAATGATTGCCAATGAATTTACTCGAGTGACTTCATTGTTTCCCCTTCTTGTTCGTACTCATGGGACTTGGAAACTAGAGGCGCCTTACTAGAACTGGCAAACTTCCTTCTTCGGCAAGTCCAAGCCTCGACCGGGATTTCGTCTCTTTGTTAACACTAGAGCCATGAAGCTATTTTGATCTTGTCGACAAATCAAACATTGCAAACACCGTCTAGGCTTCCACGCCATTCTTCGTAGCTCCCGCTTGCCGAAACTTTGGATCTAGAATGCACTAGGTAGTCGAGTGCAAAGCCCATACATAATATCGCATCTGTGGGGGACCTCACCAATTGGATTCTCGGTACTGCCTGTGACACCCAGAAATCTGAACCGTGGAACAAACAGCAGCTAGCAATGATTCGTGATGTCCAGCAAGAGAAATTTGTAGTGGCAGCATGGGCCAGGGCTGCAACCAAAAGGGCCGAAGAAGCAATCGTCGTATCAAACACGTGTATTTCCATGCAGTAGGGATTGGGCTTCGAAGTTCTATAATCCGAATAAAAAACTTGAGGTTAAAGTGTCTCCTAGCGAAGTCTACATAGGCTTCAGAGATGCAGAGCGAGAATCCGGCTGACTAAAAGGGATACCCAAAAACTCATCTCTGACCCTCAGTAGAGGACATACAACGACATTTTATAGATTTAATAGGAAACAAATAGGGCGAGGAGCTCGAGATCCAGACCAGAAAATGTTCTTTCCTCTGAGTTTAATTTTAGTTTTTAAATACCTTTTGATTGTAGTTTTGTTGTTGACTTCTTGTTATGATATGAGACAACGAGGTGTTCGAGGCTAGGGCATTGCGTGTGGCTCAAGGCCACAGCATACATCACTAGTGTACTGGTTAGGCGAGCATGTATATAGTTTCATAGATGTACCCACAATAAATGGACACAGGTTTATTCTTATACTTTCTGTCTATATACCTACAGCATAGTATTGTATGAGGCTACTCACTGTCAACCACAAATTATAACATCATCCACTCTTCATCACTCCGCAATGTGACTTCCGCATAGCTCATAACCACAAAACTTCAACGCTTTAAGTGGAAGTTCACATAGTTGGGATTTGGTGGACTTATATACAGAGATCCCCGCAAGCTGCAACAGTCCTGGACCCCAGTTGGACTAAGAACATTAACTTGGGAACTAATCCATTAAAAAAAATTAAAGCCCATGGACCTTGGAATGAGGGAACACATTTAGAGATATCTACAGTAGCTCAAAAGTTGCAACAAATTTGAAATATCTTATAATATGATTCCTCTAGACAGGTAAAACAGTAGTACTAGAAGTAGAATTGATAAAGTATAGGGTTAACAGAACGTGTATGTTACTCTGCTCGCTCAGCATTCTAGGAAAAATGCTGCGACTGTACTCCTACTAATTTGTGTCTACCAGCCTCGCCTACACGCTAATATGAAACTACTAATATAGGGTATATAAGATCTCCAAATTCCTTACCCATTTTACTTTTAGGTAAACACTAATCACAACCATAACTCCATTATGTTAAGGCACAAGAAAAACGTAAAAAAAAGACTCGAGGTCGTAACGACACGATTTCTTTATGCTATACTTATTTTTGCTCATGTTCTTCAGTAACTCAATTGCCAGATTCTTGACGGTACCCGTAATTTTCATTTCCTCTTTCTAATCTACCTTGCCATCGACCGAAGTAGACATATCCAAGTCGATAAGAGTACCCTCTGATTTTCCATTTTCATCAGGCTTGGTCAAAATAATATTTCCCTCAGAAACATTGCCGTGAAGGACCTTTTGTTGTGCTGGCTCGGTTGAGTTGTTAGGAGACAGGGGAACGGAGGATGGGCTGCTGGATTAGGAAAGGGTGGAAAATACAGGCTGGTGCACAGACGCTGTTCATGTACTCTACAATCTCTTCACCTGCCGAGTTTAGTCAAATAATCTATCCATATAATATCATACTTCATATCATCCATTAGATGATATTATCAATCGTCGGGATGCACATCTAGCGTCACCTTCATAGATCACCATCGTCAGTAAGAGTTCACATTTGATACCTACTGACACCCATTTGGCCACAGTGATACGCACTCAGTGTCCATCGTGCCATCACCCAGCGTGAGCGCGCCATCTCCGCGACTCACCATTGCACATGAGCCCGTGTAATTCCACCGACGGACAGCAGAGACATAATTGCTATATACCTCACAGCTCATAACCACAACACCTTTGCGTCATTGTAAAGATTACGATGACCAATTATTGCATCAAGAATTCAATTTAAAAACTCTCGGAGCGATCGACTAGATTTAAGGGGGCGTCCAATTGGCGAAAGTATTGCTAAGGTAAGCTTACGTTTGCGGAAATAGCCCGGTGTTGTCTGTGGTTCATTCTGAAGGCCTTTGTAAAGGCACCATTTGTTGTTTTTAATCGAGACCTTAAATGCCTTTGAGAAATCCAGCCCAGCTCGGTGAGTTTCCACTTCATTTAGCACCGTACCCCACACTAAGTTCACGACACCGTTCACTGGTTTTGCCAGTTTCAGATAATCAATTTCGGATCGTTCTGCTCCCAAACCCCACGAAAACTTGACTGTAAACATGTCATCCTTCGTCCGGTGGCAAAGATTTGCCTGTGATACAATTGTCTCTGGTCTATAGATTAGCTCGGGCATGATTTCGATCTCATTATCAACCGGCTCATCACCTTCTCGAATGGTAATGAATGATTGACCATCTTTACGAAAAATAGTTGTATCAAGCCCAAGCTCTTCATCGCTCATGAACATGTATGATGAGATAGCTCGAACCAGTTTTTCTTCGCTTTCAATCAGACTGATTTCGCCCGAGCTGTATGCACCCGATCGGTCAACTACCCAGAACTCAGCGTGCAGTTTGTGAACAACAAATCCACGCACAAATCGACGCAATGGCTGTGCGTAGAAAATTTCACGAATGTACCTCGTGAGCTGGTGAAACTTGACAACTATCAGACCAGCAGACTTGGTGAATTCGCCTACTACCCTAATATCTCTCCAATGATGTTTATTCCCCCCGACTAGATCAGCATCTTCAATAAAAAAGTTAAGCTTTTGTCGACTCTTTGCGCCTTCAAGCTGATTAAGATGAGTCGTATGATAAAATTTGACGCGCGCGATAGAATTCTTTGGCGTACAGATAAAAGTTGATTCCGACATGTTTGATTCGTGGGGGAACGTAAACTGTTTCAAGTAACGGTCGAAGAAGGTGTAAAACCAGGTCCGGAGTTCAGCTTTGTTCATGTTTTTATGGAAAACATAGGGCTGACATTGGTTTTTATCTTGATAGCACTCCCAGATTCGCGTTGTAGTTTGAGATCACCTTTCATTCTCGAAATAAACCTCCCAAAAATTACCAACACTTTTGTAAATATTGTTCGTAAGTTCGATCTTGAGGGCTACAGTGAGAGAAAAGCAGGTTGCGTCGTAATTGGGAATCTCTGAAATGCTCTGCGTGTAGGTAGTCGTTGTGTTTTTATCAATTATTGGAATCATTATGTCCGGAATTGACTTTGGTTCCTCATGGTTAATGTCATCAGCAAGATCAATGAATTGAGTCCAAAATTCACGGTCACTAGCATCAGATAAGATTAATTCAACAAAGGGCTTGAGGTTGGAGAGAACTGTTGTAAAAATCTGAGTTCATAACTGCACACACCTTCAGGGGATAACTGTGCACCAGCAAAGTTAACCCCTTAGAGTCTGATCACTATTGCCCCCTGGTCCCTACACACTAACATAAACGTGTTCACTACAATGAGGACACCATTGTAGTTACTCTAGCTATCATAGACAATACCATGTAGAGGAATAAGGGTAGGAACTCCTGTATATAGATAGGGCCTTTTTACTCTCAGTATCTATACATCAATCATCCACAAATACAATTCACCATCAATCAATCATCTTACTCTATCCAAGTGATCTATTGAATTCTCCCATACCTATCAGTATTCTATTCTCAAGGTGACGTCTCCCTATCCATCGCCCTCAGCCTTTCAATAAGAACGACTCTTTTAGCAGAGATTTTAGTGACTATTGAAAGGATGTACTGGTGAAGCGTGTAGATGTTGGCTTTACTTCTGAACTTGGTTTTGTATCCTTGAAGTTTTCTTAACAATTGTTTCAATTACTAGCAAATTAGCTTTTAACTCAATGCTCTACATGAGGAATTCACCAATCATTCGTTCAACAGCATTTTCGTAATTTTTCCTGAATCGAGCACGCAGTATTGTGAGAGGATGTTGATTAGTATATTCGTAGAGTTCCTCGAATAGGCTCATCTTGATGTAAAATGAAATAACAAAATTACTGGAGGAAATTGATGATTTAGAGATTTTTGAAATTGGGGGATGCTGATGACTATGAGAAGCGGATAATGGTAGAGTTTGGGGTTGATAAGCCTCAAAATCGCGTCTGCACACTGTTTTTTTTTTTTTTTTTTTAATACATTTGGTCCTAAGCTAACGCTATCTTATCCACATTGGGTCAAGGACCGGTGGAGCCGGCAAGGATCACTGCGTACAGGCCCAACTCATTCCAACCGCATGAACTTTTACTGAAATTGTAGAAGTTAACAGCAAAACTAAAATCAAAAACATAAATCAAAAACAAAAATCAAAAACTGAAATCATATTTGGAAGAAATACTGTTTAGTCCGGATCCCGCGCTTCTCGCCCGTTCCCTTTCCTGCCACATCTTCCAGGTGACTTTTTCTTATCTCTGCTGAGAGCGAAAGATTAGTTCGCAGATACCCTGAATTCAGCTGGTATCCTGCCATATATTTTGAAGCTTTTTGTAGACTTCACCGAGGGTTGCTGTACCCTCAAACTTCTTCTTCGGATTCCAGGATTCTTAAACCCGATCCCTCGGCCATCGAGACATCCTTCGTTGAGGCCATCGTTGCCTCTTCGGCCCTTTTGGCTGCAGCCCTAAATCGAGCCACTTTCGCGAACTCCCCTTGCTGGATCTGGCGGATCCGCGCGAGCGGCTCTTTTGTCACCTGTCCGGACTTGCTGGGTCTAGCTAAGCAGGCCCGGGAATCCGATTGGTGAGGTCCCCCACAGTTTCGACACCGGGTGAGGGCCTTGCACTCTGATTCTGAGTGCATATTAGATCCGCATTTCCAGCAAGCTGGAGCGCGGGAACAACCACGGGTGGCGTGAAATTCAAGACATCGTTTGCATTGTTCGATTTTGCGACGAGGTCGGAAGAGCTTTGCAGCTCCAGAGTCGTCGAAAAGGCGGAATCCAGGTCGAGGAGCGGATTCTCGTGGAAATAGCGCTTGCCAATTTGAGTAGGGCGCCCCTGGTTTGCTAGTCCCATGAGGACGAACCAGAAAGGGAACCAACTGGGTCACTCGCGTGACTTCGTCGGCAACCATCTTTGCCGTCACGGCGATTGGGCCAGCAAGAGTTCGAATTGTCTCCGGGACGGTGGCAATTTGCATGGCAACCAGATTTAATGCTGGTTCCAGTTTGATTCCAGATTCGCTCCGTGATGTGGAGGAATCTAGGAGCTCTGTTCGAGCGAGTTCATCCTTTGCGGTTACTGCAAAGCCGGTCTTTACCCGCTGAACCAACGTGATATTGTTGGCAGCAGTTCCCAGCGCCTGAGACACCGCTAGCCTTACTCTAGCTGGAGAAAGGAGACGGTGGGGATGGAAATGGTCAAGGCGCAGAAAAAGTCGTGAATCGGCTTTTCCACTCGAGTTGGCACTTTTTGCTTTCTGGGCGGGCGGTGCTGCCTTTTTTGTCAATGGCCCAGCGCTACTGACTAGGCCTGCCCGAGCTACGGTGGCCCAAGTTGTCTTTGGGGCCGGAGCCTGGGTTTTTTTAGAGCTAGGTGCCCTAATTTCTGGAGCCCTCGGTGAGAGAGGGTTGGCGGGGCGGGCAGGAAGGACTGGTGGTGTGCTTCCTGGACCGGATTGAACGAACTGGCCAATAGCTGCTCGTACGTAGACTTTTATACCGTCTACGAATTCTTTATTTTCGCCGATCGAAAGAGGCGAGAGTGCTGCTTCAACACTGTTTATCGCAGGCGAGCAGATGGCGAGGCGGGCCGTAATTTGCGTCGTACGTCGCTTTTCGGCCTCCATCACGGTTTGCAGCTCTGGTGGAAATTCCATTGCTGATGTAGATGCTACGCCTTTAGAGGCTGGCACAGCATTGTTTCCTGCAGATGATTCTGCACGTTCGGTTGTCTTTTCTCGAACAACTTCCTTTCCTTTCCTGGAGCTGCTTGCCAAAGGGGGCAGTTCGACGGGGGTTTTAGTCTTGGGACCATTGTTTTCTGCTCTGATTGGTTCAGAATCAGTCATCTCTTGATCGGGAAGATTTGTGGACTTCCCTGGGACAAAGGCCTCACTCGAAAATAGGCTTGATAATTTTTGCGCGAGGCCAGTAGGTTTTGGACACAATGGTGTCCGTTCAAAGCCGGCTGAAGTTGTCGGCTTTGGGCGATTTTTTCTCACCGGAGGCATTTTAAATACCTCGCGACGGTTAACAATTCGAGAAGTCAAGCACAGAAGTGATCATAGGAATGGAAAATGGGAAAAAGGGAATTTTCGAATTTCTCGAATTGTGCGTTTGTTTGTTTGTTCATTAACGTGCTAGGTGAAGTAACTACTGTTGCACTCCTACTGGAGCTTGAGCACGAGTAGGGTCGGGCCGGATCAGGTTAACTACCGTGCAGTACAAATGCCTCGTCCCACCTAAATGACCGGAACCATGCCAAAATGCATCTATGTGTTGGACCATGACAAATTTGGCAGCCCAGAATTGAAAACAAAACAAAAACTTTCCCGCGAAATCCCGCATTACAAAAGAAAAACTTCAACAATCTCCCTTCCACTGTTCCGCCTCAGCCACCGCGCGCCTGAGCCTCGAATCTAATCTCTCTGTCCATGCCAAACCACCTAGGCCTTTGATCTATCACCTCAGAGTCACAGGTATCCCTGCCATCCCCCGACTAGCCTCCGCGTATATTCCACTCTCCTGGACGTAGTCCCTGAACAGCTGCCATCCCCTTGATCCAAGCATTAATTTCAGAGCCGGCGCCCTACGCTTTCCGTTTTTCAGCCGCCATGTTGCCAGTGCTTCTCGACACTGTACAAGGTGACCAATTGATTTTTCCCTCCCACACTCGCAGTAGAGTTTGGCGTCAGCGTGATTGAAGCGGCGATGATATGCCGCAAAGTCTCCATGTCCGGTTCGGGCAGTGATTAGGCGGGCGTAGACAGCTCTAGTTAGCGCTAGCTCTAGCGGTTTCTTGCGCCGCATCTCGAGTTCAAGATCGGCGTAGTGTTTGGGGCGATTCAAGTGCCATCAGTCCGTCAACATCTGCCTAGCCACTTCACGGGCTTTCCGTCCTGATGAGGCGAGGGTCATCACACCATGTGTCGTCCTAGAGTTGTCCGGCGAGTTAAGCTCTCTTCGAGCGAGTTCATCGGCGATTTCATTTCCTGCCACTCTTCGTGGCCCGGAATCCATCTCATTTTTACAGGCGCGGCTGATCTCGCGGCCATTTTCACGAACTTTTGGATTCGCCAGGATGTTGAGTCCGTTGTTCCCGTCAGTAAAGCCTGGACAGCCGCAGAATTGTAGAGAAGGATGTAGATAGCGCTGCGTCCTCGATCTCGATTGCTGGCAGTAATTGCTTCTATAGCAGCCAAAGCTCCATGGACCTCTGCGTCGTAGACCTCCGCATTGGTAATTTTGCCTGAGCCGCTTTGCTCAATTGTCGTACCTATGTTAAAGTTATGAGCTTGAGCAAAGATGGAGGTTGTAGCGGAATCAGTGTCGGCGGTTAGACCGATGCAGTAAGTCTTATATGAGGTTGTGAGAGGAAGATCCGAGTGGAAACAATTGTATTTAGATGTATGGTTCAGAGTAAAACCGAGATAATAAGAGTGAGATTGCGTGTTTGCATATCTTATCAACTGTGGTTTTTGACCAGTATTTATCAATCTCCATGGATCGTAAGTTATGATCCATGTAGATGTAGATCTATGTACATACACATATATGGGTCAGGAATATAAAGCTAAATACATGTGTGTCGGTAATAGATACGAGAAAACTATAACCTGCATTTGAGACATAGTCATCCGCTGGAATGCTAGTGTGAAATAAACGCTAATGCGCATTAAACTTTCGGTGAATGATGTATTGATAACAGTGATATAGAATGGGGAATTTGATAGTCAAATTAGCCGGACTTACTAATAAGTTATTCTTGGCATT